GAAATCAAAACTGAAGGGTGCCTCCATCCGGAGGACTTTTGTTGGCTCTGCCGAGAGGGGCGATATCCCTCAGCAGGCCCGCGACAGGAGCACACCTTCAGGGCTGTGCCTCACGCGCCGCACAGCAAGGCAGCAAGTTGATAGCGGATGGGCCGGCACGCCCAAAAGCTGCATGGGGAATGGGCTCCGCAAGCGAGCACTAGCCAAGGAGGGGGGAGAGAGGAGGGACGAGGAGACGGGGACGGGGGGCGGGGGGCGGGCGTCGTGTCGTCGAGCGTTGCTGCCTCTGCAGGTCCTCCTCACCCTCAGCCCCTCTACCACTGCTCTTCCTCTTCTGCACTCACCGGCCTGGGACTGGCCCTGCCACCGCCACCTCCTCGCCCTCAGCGAGTTCCTCCTCACCCTCTGCCTCCGCCTCCTCCTCCACCTCCTCCACCTCCTCCTCCGACACCTCCTGCTGCAGACTGTGCTCAGCGCCCGCCCCCGACGACAGGGGGCTTGTGGGCGCTGAGTAACTGTTCAGCCACCGCCGTTTGCAGAACAGCACTGAGCTCTTGCCAGAAAGCGACCGCATCGGCAGACGCTCCTGCCTCTCCGTCAGAGCGGTCCAGGTGATCCAGGATCAGCTGTCTCGCAGAAGAGCCCACTCGTCCCCCAGTTTCGATCGCGAAAGGAATGAGCAAAGGTGTCGTGGGTCCCGGCGGGTACCGGCGCGCCTTGTCGCGGACCGCGTCCTCCGCGGCGAGGCCAGCCTTCGCCGCCCGAGCACGCGCCTCCCTCTCGTCAGTACTGTCCGGGCTAACCACGACCACGTCCACCGCCCTGGTGCAGCCCTGGCGGGCCCAGACGACGTCAAGGACCGCCGTCTCGACGCGCGCAGTCTCGACCCCATCCACGACAGCTCGGCTGGTCCTTTGCCACTGGGGCACAGTCTGCTCCTTCTGGGCCCATGCTGGGACGCGCCGGGCAAGCCAGCGGGCCAGCAGGTCGCGAATGCGATCGTGTCGCGCCACGCGGCGCCCTCCCGTCTCGCACGCCAAGGCGTGGTGCTGGTCGGTGTCCAGAACCGCTCCGCAAAGCACCCCCTCTCGGGATGTGTTTCGACAGTGCGTCTGCGGTTCCAGTCCGCGCAGCAGCCGCGCGCCCGTCATCAGAAGGCGCCGCCGCAGAGAGATGCGGTACAGCTCAGGAGCCATTCTGTGTTCAGGCTTAGTCGGCAACATGGTGAAGGCACCAGCACCTGGGCCCCCCGCGGACAGCAGGCGGCCGCGCTCGCGGTGGTCCAGGCCAGCTTTGGCGACGCCTGCGATCACTTCCATCCGCGGGCCCACCGGGTCCTTCTGTCGGTGGCGCTCTCCCTGGGCCAGCGACGTCTGTAGGCAGTGGGCAGCGCCGACCGAAGCGTTGTACGTCACCACAGCGGCTTCAAATCCCTGCGTGCCCGCAGCGCGCGCGGCGAGGAGAGCCTCGGCGCTGGGGGCCCCAAGCGCCGCCGCAGCCCGCGGGGCGGCGTCGAGCCACGCGGCGATGTGCGCCGCCTCCCGCCGAGGCTCGGCCGCGCCGGCCGCGAGACCGCCATCCCGGAGGGGCAAACAGGACTGCACCCACTCCCGATCGGACATGTCAACGCCCAGGACGTCATTCCAGAGGCCGCGAAGCACCGTGTCATAGGCCCGGACGGCCACCAGGTCCTGCAGGTGCGCGCGAAGGAGGTGGTTCGGTAAGCCTTGGGCTGTCCACCTCAGCATCGCCGTTGCCTCTTGTGGCCCCAGTCCTGCGGCCCTCGCCTCCCGGAGCGTCTGCCCGAAAGCCCGGAGCGTCTCGGTGGCGGCGCCCATGGCACGCACCCCGCCTCCAGCTCCCGCGGCCAGGGCGTCCCAGTCGTCGTCCTGTCGGCGCGTCAGACTGCAGCCCACCACCTGGAGCTCGTCCTTCACGCACTGCCGGAGGGAGGGTGGACAGTGCGCAGTGCCAGGGGGCAGCCGCACCATCGTCTTGCTTGGGTCCAGCACAAGACCGCCAGGGCCCAGCAGCCCAGACAACTGTCGCAGGTACTCTTCTGCCTCTGCGCTCGGCACCACGGCAACGACGTCGTCCAGGTAGGCGGTGACGAGCCACTGCGGTCTGGCAGAGAAGTGCTGTTGCGCCAGTTGGTGCAAGGCGGCCGCAAACGCTGCCGGGCTCAGCGGGCACCCCTGTGGCACCCCGGCGCCGGTGCGCAGCTCACGCGTGTCACCAGTGCCGTCGCGCCATAAACCCACGGCAGGCCTGGCGTAGAGTCTCGCAAGCAGGCTTCCGTACTCAGGGAGTGCCCCTCGCAAGGATGCGATAACTCCCCGGCGCGCAAGCGTGCCGAACGCGTTGGACACGTCCACCGCCACCAGCACGCTGCCCGGCCTATCGTGCACAGCTGCTTGCAGCGCCTTGAACTGAACATCTGCGCCGCCAGGCACCCCAAGACCATACTGGTACGAGCCTGCCGCGGCCCGCGTGGCAGCCTTGGTGTGGGCCACGAACCCGGTCAGGACGATCCGGCGGAATGGCGCAAGGACCGTGAGCGGGCGGACGCCGCCGCTGGCTTTGTGGAGCGCCGTGATGGCCCCTGTGCGCAGCCACTCGTCCACGACTGGCGGCGCGGAGCCCTCCACCCAGGCCAGGGCGGCCTCCACCAACGCGTCGACCGCTTCGGTGTCGGCAGCCAGCACGCGCCAATGCTCATTGCGGCTGCTGTCCAGACCTGGCGCGCGGCCGCCCTTGGCCTTCCTGAAGGCTGCGGCGATGGCGTCCCCGAGCTGCTGACGAGTCTCCGCTGCGAGCGGAGTGGCCGTCGCGTCGTCCTGCGCCGCGTCCCAAGTGTCAGCCTCGGGGAAGAGAGCGCGGAGCCGATCGTGGACGCCTGGGCCGGCAGCTGTCTGGCCGGACCTCCAGAGCGTTGCAACTGCCCCTGCCACCTGCCCGTCTTCGAGTAGCGTGTTGACGCGGCGGACCCTGCTCGTCACGTCCACGGCAGTAGCAGCGCCCACTCGCAACTCACGCCTGTGAGCGGCTTCCCACAGCTCTTGCCACTCCCCGCGCCAAAATGCATGCAGGCGCTCAGCAATGTCATTCTTTATGTGTTCGGCCCTTTTGCCATTGGCCCCGCGCCCACCCCGGGCTCCAGTGGCAGCAAATATTAAGCGAGGTGCGAAAATGACAAGTTTCCAAGCACGCTCCCGGTCCTGGGCGGTCTGCCCACCCACACTCTCCCTCAGAGCTTTACCCATGGCCTCGGCCCAAGCACCTTGCAGTCCAGCTGGGACGCGGCGCATGGTGGCGACCTTGTGTCCGAGACTGTTTGGCACGTCCACTGTGTCCCACCACGCCATGTGCAGGAGCTGGGATGCACCAAGGGGGTCTTCTGGATCGTGCAGCGCGGGTCCAGGGCCCACTGGACCGACCTGGGCGCCTTCCGCTTGGAAGATGTCCTCCCCGTCTTGCTGCATAGAAGCCTCCCCCAGCAACTCGCGAACACGATCAACCTCAGCTTGCGGGGTGGTACGGGAGCCTTCCAGCGTGGCCGTGGGTCGCCAACGCTTCCCCACGCAGTGCCAGTGGCATAATCGGGAGGCCCCTTGTGTCTGCAGACGCGGCTCGCCAAGCGCAAACTCCTCCTTACAGGTGTGGCAGTGTGCCCGGCGGCCGTTGCCCTGCAGCGTCAGGACCCAGTTGAGTCCCCTCCGAGCCCCCTGATCGACGTCCATGTTCTGGGGACCCGCAGCTGGAGGGCCCTCGCCGGGATAGCCAAGAGTCGCGTCGAATTCCAGGGCGCTCCAGCTGATGGCCCAGGCGGCCGGGGCAGCTGACGGAACAGGCGCTGCTGCGCAAGCCTGGGCGTGGACCAGGCCTGCCGCCATCGCACCCACGGAGGCGGCGACGGCGAGGCTCAGTCCGAGGTAGGCCGCTGCTCGGCCGTACATCCGGATGCGGCTCCGGAACTGGCGCGCGTCAATCCTGGCTGCCGCGGCCCAGCCCCTA